GACTCCCTGCTGAGCAGGGAGCCTGATGCGGGACTTGATTCCGGGACTCTGGGATCGTGACCTGAGCCAAAGGCAGTCGCTCAACCAACTGAGCCACCCAGGTGCCCCATAAGTGTCTTAATTTTTATAAAATAACCCACATGGTGACAAATTCAAGGATGGAAAAAATTGGCAAAGATTACATAAATAGTAAAAGTCAAATAGTTGCTTCAGAATTTCCATTTATTTTATGACTCTCTGTTATCACTCCCTAGCCATATTTTCCTCTACTTTGATCTGCAGTAGTCTAGATAAAATAAAACTATTAATGAAAATATTTAAAGAGATACTTAAAAATCCAAATAATTATTGGGTTTGAATAGGAAAAGCTCAAAAAACCCAGCAGTCTTTGATGTGGAGTCTGTAGTTCCATTTAGCACCGTAATAATTTAAAAAACCCATTCATTTTGAACTGTTTTGCTTATGCTCTGAAAAACTATATGCAAAATTATATTCCTATTTCATTCTTTCCAGTATAGCTTCCTTATGGGCGATTATAATATGTGCTCAGAAGGGAAGTGCAGGCATAAGTATCATTATCTCAAAGCAGAATTCCTCCTAGAATATTTTAGCTTCTGGGTTATTCCAGTGTGTTTAGTTTTAAAGATTAGGGAGGAAGAGGAAGTTGACTTTTAAAATTCCCAGTTCTGTTGTTTGTTGGCCTTCATTACGAAGACTGGATATTCCTACTCCTAGATATTCTCAAACTAGCAACTATGATTTGAGTAATTAAGTTACCTGGTCAGATGAGGGGTTTTTTTTTGTACTAACATTTTGTTTTCCTGGGTAGAACAATGAAGTATGATATCAGGTTTCTATTGAGATAGTTCTGTAAATAGTTCATTAATGAATAAAAATCCTAGAACTAGTATTAACACAAACGAATTATAAAAACCAAATCTCTTTAAGAGTCAAATATATGATTTGGGGAATTGGTGGATATATTTTCCATTTGTCAAGAGAATTCCCTGATTTATACATGCTTTGAGAGTGAAATTAAGAAATGAAAATTAACAGTTTACATTAGAGATATTAATAAACTGTGATCCTTTGTAGTATTAAGTTTAAGAAAATTATTTCCCTTAAGTGATTAAATGGGATATGATCTGATTGTCCATATCGTTAGAACTAAGTTCAGTTTGTTTGTTTTTTTCTGAAGATTTTATTTATTTGTTAGAGAGACAGAGAGCACAAGCAGGGGGAGTGACAGGCAGAGGAAGAAGCAAGCTCCCCACTGAGCAAGGAGCCCGATGTGGGACTTCATCCCAGGACCCCAGGATCATGACCTGAGCCAAAGGCAGACGCTTAACTAACTGAGCCACCTAAGTATCCCAGTTCAGATTGATTTTGCAACACTATTTGACCCATTCTGCAAAATTTTATATAGTAAAATAAGGTTTAGCATTTAGCTTCATGACATCCCGTTAGATAATTAAATTCCTCAAATAGCTCATAACCACATTTTAAGGATCACAATTACTTTTGTTGATTGTTGCTTTGGAGGTGTAATATGTGTACAAATTCTTATTTAAGATTAAGGATATCTTTAATCTCTGAGGAATTGTTTAAACCAATAGGCAGGTAGTATTCCAAATATTGCCTAGATCCACTGGAACAAAATTTGTGTTTCAGAAATGTGAGTCAAGAGCATGGAATGTAGAATGATGATATTCATTGTGTCCTTGGGAAAGTTAATAGGTATTATTTCAAGTTGAAGGGAAAGGATTTGTGGTCAGATTACTTTGGAATATGTTGGTTTAAGCAAAGGTAGGCTTTACTAAAGATTTCTCAGAGAGAGACAAACCAAGAAACAGACTCTTAGCTATAGAGAACAAACTGATAGTTACCAGAGGGGAGGTGGGTGAGGGGATGGGTGAAAGAGGTGATGGGGATTAAGGAGTGCACTTGTTATGATGAGCACTGGGTGATGTATGGAATTGTTGAATCACTACATTGTATGCCTGTAACTAATACAATACTGTCTGTTAACTATACTGGAATTTTAAAAAAGATTCTCAGGGATTGTCTTTAATATTGAAATATATTAATCAGATTAATCTTACTCTAAGAACTTTAAGTATCTGGTCATTCACTGATCTTACTTTGTTTTGTATAATCTTTTCTTCCCTTTACAAAACAATATGCAGGTTCCATGTCAGATAACACATTATTAATGAGAAGAAAGAAAATAATCTCTTCTTTCAAGGATTTATACTTGAAAAGTCACCACATATAGGAAATTTTGTATTTGAATTTAAAGTTTTCAATTCTGGTTTTCTAAAGTTTATTTCAGTTCTGGTTCCTTGGATTTTGTCAGAACTGATGAGAAAGTAAGGTAGAAAGAACACTACGAGGAGGAACTAATTCAACAGACTAAACTAGATTAAAAATTTTGTCTTTTCTCTGAAGTGCTTTTTGGACTAAGGTTTTGCAAGTTATACTTATTTAATGTAAATAGATTGTTACAGAGTAAGTGAGATAATAATGTGCTGGATTGAAGTCTTGAAATTATTTGTAGTTTTTGGGGTGTTAACAGGATCTGTTAGTGGAGAAAACTGCACTACTATAATATCCTCTGATTAATGGGAGGGCTCTGCAATTTTAAAATTATTGTTACTTGTGATTCTGGTCAAAATCTGATACATTCTTTTCTTTCACAATTTCCTAAAAATTTGAGACTTAATTACTCATTTCTACTCACTTGTCAGCGTTGTCTCCATTAATGACTTCTAATTTCCTTGCATAATATAATCTCTAGTTTGGAAGGTTTCACTCCAGAGAGTTACAATATACATGTGCTGCATAATTTTTCAAGTTTAACCTGTTAAACTTCATTCTACCCAAATGTCTGTATTTCAGATGGATCAGTTATCAGATGAAGAAATTGACCATGGTGCTGAAGAAGACAGTGATAAGGAAGATCAGGACCTGGACAAAATGTTTGGAGCCTGGCTAGGGGAGCTAGACAAACTCACTCAGGTCAGAAATAGTGGCTTGAAAAATTGTTTGAAGATTTTAAATCATCACTGTGTGCTAAAAGTTTACTGTGTACACATAGGGATATGGATATAGGTTCCATTTTTAAATACTGCTGTAAAGGGAAAATGTCCAAAACGTTAACAGGTAAATGAATGGTAACTCTAGAACATGAAGTATTATCTTATGTGGTTATTTAAAGGAGTCTAAAAACAAAAAAATACCTGTGACAAGAGATTCTGTTCCTCTAGAGGGATTATTTAAAATCTGTTTTGTAAACTGAGACTGCTGGCTAAAAAGGTTTAAAACCCAAAATCTAAAAGTCTAAATTTTAGCAAATCCTATTCCATAACTTAATAAATGTGAATATTTACTACATTTTACAACATAAGTAATATCCTCACATGCAAGTATTTTCTATTACATAATTCTAGAATACTTACAAAATTTCATTTCAAGTTTGTTTGTTTTGTTATTTTAGTTTACTACGAAGTGTCATCTGTGCATCCACCCATATCACACATACCATGTTAATGGGATTTTCAGCTTTATATTAAATTGAGTTTACATTTTAAGTGGTTGGTGAATCTTTTAAAATCATTGTAAAGTTTTTTTGTGTGTGTGCATTTTCCTGGAAGAAGGTTCAGAGCTTTTACCACATTCTCATGATAATTGCCTCCCACCAAAAAAAGTTTAAAAACCACCCACCTAGGTTACCAATTTCTTGGTGTCAAGGGGTATTTCTTACTATTTCTTTTGTTCCCCCAGCACTGTGGGCACAGCAGATAATTATAACAAGTATGTTTATTTGAACTGGTAAATAGATAGACTCTTAATATGTCCTCAATTATATTCAAGTTATTTTACAGAAAATATTAAACCTACCTATTATTTTTCATTTCCACTGAGAGAAGCATTAGGACTTAAATTGCAGCAGAAGAACAGGATTTGAGGTTGAAGAATTTCCTATTTTGTGAAACTTTGAAAAAGGCAGTGAATGATTGTGGATCCCCTTCATATGATAGCTTCAAAAACTGGTTGGACACTATCTGAATGGATTCCTTTTATCTTGAGACAAATGAATAAAGAAGGCACCAATGTAATCTAATTCGATGATTCTACAGACTATCCAGGATTCTTTTTTATTTGAAATCAATTTGATAATTATAAATAGAAATGAAAGTTTTAAAAGGCTATTCTTAATATTTGTAAATTTATTTAGACACTAACTACAGACCTTTTCCCTGAATTTCTCTGTTATAAGCATCTTATATTCTTTATTGTAGAAAGGTTAGAGAGGAAAAGTGTCATTTAAAAAGGTAGTGAGATAACTTACAAGATACTCTGTCCTGAATCTACAGTATAATTCTAGACTTATCATAGGCAGTATCACAGCTGGGTTACAGTTTGTCCTCATCTTAATAGAGCTTGAGAAGAACAAGGATATTCCATCATTGTCTGAAGTTGTAGCCACTCTCTGTTAAGATTTTGGGTCTTGGGACTTCCAGGGAAGTTGGCAGAGTAGGAAGATTCTCACCTCACTTTGTATCTCATGAATACAGCTAGATAATCCCCACATCAATGTAATAACCCAGAAAATGACCTAAAGACTGGGAGAACAAACTTTCCACAGCTAAATGTAGAGAAGAAGCCACATCCAAGAGAGGAGGAAGGACGAAGACACGAAGGAGGGGCATCCTGGGCACAGAGAGGGGAGAGAAACAGACTCAGACAAGGGAGCCTGCATGGGGAAGGTGTATCCCCATAACATTTGGCTTTGAAAACTAGCAGGGCTGAATTTCCCTTTGTTCTTACAGTCAGTGGGACTTAACACCTGGAACTTTAACAATCAGTGGGGTTGGAACAGGACACAGTCACAGCAAGAGAGCTAAATAAAACAGGTAAATAATATGACTGATAGAGAATTTAAAGCAGTGGTCATAGAGATACTCACTGGGCTTGAGAAAAGAATGGAGGATCTCAGTGAGATCCTCAACAAAGAGATAGAAAAATTAAAAACCAATCAGAGATGAAGAATCCAATAACTGAAATGTAAGATATATGGAATAAATAGTAGACTAGAAGCAGTAGAACAGATCAGTTACCTGGAGGACAGAATAATAGAAATCAATCAAGCTGAATAGAAGAGAGAAAAAGTAATAATACAAAATGAAAATAGACTTCGGGAACTCCGTGACACCATCAAGTATAGTAACATTGCATTTTAGGGATCCCAGAAGAAGAGAAAGGGGGGCAGAAAACTTATTTGAAGAAATAATAGCTGAAAACTTTTAAAATCTGGGGAAGGAAACAAAAATCCAGATCTAGGAGCCACAAAGAGCCCCAACAAAGTCAATCCAAGGAGGTCCACACCAAGATATATAGTAATTAAAATTGCAAAAAGTAGCGATAAAGACAGAATTTGAAAAGCAGCAAGAGAAAAAAGTTGCAAGCAAGGGAAACCCCATAAGCTGTCATCTGATTTTTCAGTGGAAACTTTGTAGGCCAGAAGGGAGTGGCATGATATGTTCAAAGTGCTGAAAGAAAAAAACCCATAACCAAGAATACTCTATCCAGCAAGGCTGTCATTCAGAATAGAAGGGGAGATAAAGAGTTGCCCAGACAAAAGTTAAAGGAATTCATGACCATTAAGCAGGCCTGTAAGAAATATTAAAGGGAACTGTCTGAGTGGAAAACCATAAATAAGAGTAAGAAAAGTAGGAAACACAAAAGCAGTAAAATAAGTATATTTCTAAAAATCAATCAAGGGATTCACAAAGTAAAAGGATGTGAAGTATGGTACCATATACCTAAATCATGAGGGGGAAAGAAGTAAAGAGTGGGTTCAAACTTAAGTGACCATCAACTTAATATAGACTGCTATATGCAGATGTTATATACAAACCTAATATAAAATTAAAAACCAGTAATAGGTAGGCAAAGAATAAAAAGAAAGGCATCCAGGGCAGGCACCTGGGTGTCTCAGTTTAGCATCTGCCTTCAGCTCAGGTCACGATCCCAGGGTCCTGGGATTGAGCCCCGCATCAGGCTCCTTGCTCAGCGAGGAGCCTCCTTCTCCCTCTCCCTCTGCCTGCAGCTCCCCCTGCTTGTGCTGTCTTTCTCTCTCTCTGTCAAATAAATAAATAAAATCTGAAAAAAAAAAAAAAGAGAAAGGGATCCAAGTATATCGTTAAAGAAAGCCAAAAACAAAACAAAACAAAAAAACAGGCTGTAAACTATAGAGAACAAATTGATGGTTAACAGAGGGCAGGGGGAATGGTATGAGCACTGAATAATGTATAGAATTGTGGAATCAGTGTATTGTACACCTGAAATTAATATAGTAGTATAAATTAACTAGAATTAAGATAAAAAAATTTTAATAAAATACATAAATACAAAGAAAAAAACTGATCTTGGATCTACACATTTTGAGTCCAGAATTATGCCTTATCTTCAGGGTACTTCATGCCAAGAATGAGACTATGCTAGACCAAAAACAAATCCCTCTGAGGGAAGAGATAACAGAATCTTACCTTGCCCATATTCATATATTTAGCTAATAGTGAATTTATGTAAAATGAGCTCAGTCACTATACTTGATGTATTTGGAAAGACATTCAATCCAAACTAGGATGGTCTTAAATGCCTTAAGTAATAAGCATATTATCTAAAAATTGAAAAACTATAACCAAAATAATAAAACTATAACCAATAAAACCATCATTTTACTTGTCCTTAAAACTAGAAGGACTTTGGTTTTATTAACTATTATATGACAGTTCACCTCATCAAATAACAAGCTTTATCTTTTTTATAATTGAAGCCTAAAAATAATATGACTTATTAAACTTTCTTTAGAGTTTGGATTCTGACAAGCCCGTGGAACCAGTAAAAAGATCTCCTCTTCGTCAGGAAACAAATATGGCCAATTTTTCTTATCGCTTCTCCATATACAACTTGAATGGTAAGATGTAATTGGAAGTAAAATGTAAGATAGTATACTAAATATATATTTAGTATACTAAATTATATAATGCAGAAGCAATGCAGCTACAGTTCCAAGTAGCTCAATATAAAAACTACATGCATAACTTGAGTGAGTTCTTCTATTTCTTGGTTTGTGCATTTTATTACTAATTCAAATGATCACAGAAAAAAAACTGAACTGGAACATAACTAAAATAGTTTTCTAGATACTAATAATTGACAAAGTACATACTCAAGTGGTACTTCATGACAAACCTACTTGCACTGTTGTATTTTCATTGGAATAAAGTCCAGTGAAATTACTTGTTAATTAGTTTTAAATCAGCCCCTCTGGCCTTTATTTATTGTATTCTACCTAATGAACTTTCTAATATTTGGAATTGACATCATAATCTGTAGTTTTTTAGGCTTTGCATTTTTTTCTCTCTATGCTCTCAGCTCTTTAAGTATTAACAACTCTACCATGGCACTGATCATATTAATAATATAGAGCCTGTGGTGAAAAGTTGCATGGGGGATGTGGTTAAAACTATAGGACAGTATATGATTTTTGCATTATTTTTAATCTTTCAACTCATAATTTTATTCTCTACTGATTACTACAAATCCTAAAAGATGGACTAGTTGCTTCTAAAAATTTCTCTGTGAATTTAAAACAAAAAACTCTTAGAAATAATATATTCAATAGGCTTTAGGCCCAATAGGATAAATTTCTTTGCTTCTTACCCCTTCATTCATTGACAGATTTATAATAGAATGTGTAAATTCTGATTCAGTCTATCCTGGAAACATCATGTATGTATTGTTCATTGCAGAAGCTCTGAATCAGGGAGAAACTGTGGATCTGGATGCCCTGATGGCCGATCTTTGCTCCATAGAGCAGGAGCTCAGCAGTATTGGTGCAGGAAATAGTAAGCGTCAAATCACAGAAACAAAACCCACTCAGAAATTACCTGCCAGCCGACATACATCAAAACATGGCACTTTGAAAGGATTGTCTTCATCTAACAGGATAACTAAACCATCACATGCCAACTACTCCCTGGATGACATCACTGCACAGTTAGAACAGGCTTCCTTGAGCATGGATGAGGCTGCTCAGCAATCTGTACTAGAGGATACTAAGCCCTCAGTAACTAATCAGCACAGAAGAACAGCATCAGCAGGCACATTGAGCGATGCTGAAGTGCGCTCTGTTAGTAACTCCTCTCGTTCCAGCATCACCTCTGCAACCTCCAGCATGGACTCTTTGGATATTGATAAAGTAACACGCCCTCAAGAACTGGATTTGACACATCAGGGGCAGCCAATTACTGAGGTAAGTAGATGGAACTTTTTTCCTGCTATTTTAGTATTTTAAAAAGGAGGAAATGGTATTTTTAAAATGTAGTCTTAATTAACTTTCTTATTTTTTCTACATTTAAAATTTGTCAGGATCCTTCTGAGCTAAGTTTTAAAATCACTACAGAAGGAATATATTACCAGATATAGCAATGTCACAATGATTAAGAGAGTTTCTTCATTTTATTCTTAGGCTATTTGAAGCCCTTGAATTAATATGAGTTTCACATGATTAAAAAACTTGAAGTGTGGTTTATACTTGATGACATTTTGCAAACCTATTATAATTGTTATAATAGTAATTGCTGTTTAATGTATGTTTATTATAAAACAACAACTTAAGAAAAAGATGCCTACCACTGCTATAGTCCTCCAAGATTCTATTTTATTATCAAAGAGTCAGTGTACTGTAGTGGAAAGAGCCCTTGGGCTTGGAATCAGAAAACTGGGTTCCAAGTGGTGTTCCCTTTGCCACTCACTACCCATAGGACCTTAAATGAGTTATTCAGCCTCTGTGAACATCAGTTTCTCAGAAGTAAAATGGAGCTAATAGTACATGGTCTAATCCTCATATGGTGGTTTAGATAATCAAAAGTGATAATATATGTGAACAGATTTTTAAAGGACAAAGTTCTTCTGGATGTGATGGGGTGAGGGCAAGGAAGAAATTTTTGTTAAAATAAGTTTAGCAAAAGCTGAGTTTGGTGTAGGTAAATTCTTTATTGAATATTTTTGTCAAGAAGAAGGCAGTATTGTTAACAGGGTAGCAGCAAGAAAGATCAATGTGGGTAAAATAAAGCCAGCCCTTCTGTTCAGTTTATGTTTACAGTCCTCTCTACCACAGGGTAAAATAATCTATTCATGAATAATCATTACTAAGGTAAAATCTTGTAAAACAAGGTTTAAAGAATTACAGAGAAATTTAAAATTTACATCTATTACGCAACATTATTAATTTTTCCCCGTTGGTTTAATTCATAGATTAATTTCCATCAGTCAGTAACTCTTTGTACCTAATAATGTACCCAGTTTGTTCTGGGCACTGTGAAGCATAATAGACATAAATTTGAGTTTAATTGCTTGTAAAGAAAAAGTATATCAATCTAAAAGTAAATTTTCACTTATTTAAAATGAAGCTCATGTGGTATATATTCTGTAGAGAACTCAAAAATTTATTTCTGTCTTATGATACCTAGGGATTATATTTAGCACCAGCTCTATAGTATGTATCATTTATGTCTTTTAGATTTACCTGTTGGGATATGAGCAATATTTTATTAAGGATGTACTTTCTTGGTTATTCTGTGTTTTATATGTTGATATTCCTTCTTTCTAATCAGATTATTCTGAGTTGGGTCAGGATGCGTGAGGTCAGGTTAAACTAATCATTAAGGATCTTTATGTGTGTCTCATCTGTGAAAATATACTCACACAATAAAAACAAAGTAAAAAGTGAAAAGTCCTCTCCCAGCAAATTCTTTGGATGTGACCTAGTGGTATTCATGGGCAAAGATACCAGTGTTCAATAATATAATGTTTAGTGTAAGACTTCAATATAAAGTTTGGTGAGTAAACTAGGAATAAAGCAGGAAAGGAGTTAAAGTCTTCTCTATCCGTCCTGTTCTTGTGTCTTGCCTGGATGAGTAGAAAAGTGGTTTAACCAAACCTGAAACTTGGTTTGGCATACTTTTTTATGGATTTGGTCTGTTCTTCAAATCAAGAAAACCAATTGAGGCTTACTAGATCCCAAACCCATGTATCAAATTGTCCCTACACTCAAATACAATCTCTAAAAAATATTTTAATTACTTTTGCATATGTGGAGTTTAAAGAGTCAAATAGTTCTGTGAGACTTGTTACAGAAAATTTTGCTACACATGTGCACACACATGCCATATCCTCTCAGAGGCCAAAACTTTCTACTCTTTTAGCTGATTCTCAGGGTATTTACCTCTCTGTCATTAAATCTATATTTATATTGCTATTTCTTTATATTTTTCCATTGTATGTGTTATCTACTGACTTCTCACTCTGGAAGATTAGGATATAGACAGCTCCTCTTTAGACAGCTCCTCTCCCTTCTCCTCTCATGCTCCCCTATCCTCCCAGTATATTTTGGTTGGTTACTGTTCAGTTTTTATATTATCATGACTATGTACATGCAGTTTGGTGCTAAACTATATGCTTTTATTACATTTTCTTTCTGGGCCATTACATTTTGCTTACCTGGAATTAGTAGTTGTCTTGAGATTTAAAAATAGGTTTTTTTATATGTTTATCACTGTTTCAATTCCAGACTTTCCCCCAGTTGATTCTCTTAGTTCAAACAAAATCAGTGTTTATTAATATCATCTTAAAATTCTTTGCTCTTTCATAGTCTTTGCTCTAGTATCATTCTTAAGTTTTTTCTCTCAGAAAAGTGTGAGCTTCTCCAGAGAAGATGGTTCTTTCATTCTCCTACATAGAGGGCGTATGTCGGCTGTGAGTGCTTTAGCAGCCCATTTGGGAAAGAAGGCTTGCAATGTAAGGTGGTCCTCAGTGTTCAGTATGTGAACTTCCATCTAATCCTTTTAGGTCAGGATTTCTCAACATTGACTACTAACATTTTGGCCAAATAATTCTTTGTTGTGGGAGCTATCTTGTGTATTGTAGGAAACTTAGCAGCATCACTGGCACCTATCCTATCCACAAATGCCAGTAGTACACATACCTCCCTCAGTTGTGACAACCAGACATTGCTGTATGTTCCCTGTAAGGGGAAAGTCCCCGCTCTGAGAATCACTGCTTTAAAACAGAAAGGATTATTAGCAAGTCTGAACCCCTTTTCTTCATGGGAAATGATTGTGGGTGTTTTCCTGCTCCTGGCGTTTTTTTTTTTTTAGTAGAAACTTGACTAATAAATATAGAATGTTTCCAGGTAATATTGTTTACTATAAACTGACCCCTGATTAGTGAGTGCATATGGACCAGGAAGACTGTGAGTGAACTTAGAAGCCTATGAATAGACACGGACCTTTGTTTCCTGGTGTGAAGTTTATCAGTTTTGTAAGTGAACATAAATACATCCCTTGAGGGTTCCTGGAACCTACACTCATTGGCTGTTAAAATGGACTGCTGGTTCCTGTGGAATATGAAGTTTCCCTAAGCCAGGGTGATTTCTGTACTTACCTACATGATTTCTGTCCCTTAGAATGGTGGGTCCAGAAAAGGCTCCTGGTGGCCTATATAGATCCTTTTTAAAGATAACATGTCTCATGCTAGCACACTTTGTCTGTCTGTAGAACTAAGTGAACTTGGTCCCATGCTGTGGTCTTTTGGGTCCTGTGAGTGACTGTCAGTCTGAACCTGAGACCACTGTTGGTCTGTGAGTAAAGGAAGGAATCTGTTAATCAACTGCTTAAGTATGCTTTCAACCAGTCAGTCCTTCTGCTTTCATTCCCACCATCACTTCTATTGCTTCTGGAGACTTTTGAGGTTACATGATGTACATTGGGGTGCCCCTCTGCTTTTCTCCAGTGCTGGCTTTAACATTCAGCTTTCCTTGGGCCTACTAAGGTGGTTACCACTCAGCCATATCTAACATAATCTCCTTTTCCTGTCTGCAGTCTCTTGACATTGGAGTGCCCCAAGGTACAGTCCTGACTCCATTTCTATCTGTATCCACTCTTGTGAGCTTAAGCACTGACAACTCCCGCATTTTAATACCCTATTTCATTTATCTAAGACACACCTTTTCCCCACATTTTAATTCCTCTAAAACAATGGTTCTCAACTGGGAGCTATTTTGCCCCCCCAAAGGACATTTAGCAGTGTCTGGAGACATCTGTGGTTGTCACTGATTAAAGGGTGCTACTGACATCTAGTGGGTAGAGGCCAAGGGTACTGGTAAAACCCTCCAATGCACAGGTTAGCCACCACAACAAAGAATTATCTGACCCAAAGTTGTGCCTAAGTTGAGAGAGTATGTTTTAGAAACAGGTGGCATCTGTCACTGTCAGCGAGGTGGCAGTTCTGTGCGAAGTTTTCTTTTGACAGTTCCTGAAAAAGATCAAGAAAGTAGCAGCATTAAGTCATCTTAGATTCAAAGAAATACAGGTATCTTTTGCCAGTGTGCCTCTCCCCTGAACTCCGGGCTGACACATCCTATCTCTGATCAGTATCTCTATTTGGATGTCTAATAGGTAGCTCAAATTTAACTGGTCTAAAACCGAAGCCCTGGTCTTTTCTCCCAAACTCCTCCAAAGTCTTCTCCATCTCAGTTGATGGCTCTTCCATCCTTCCAGTGCATCAAACAAAATCCTTGGAGTCTTTGTCTACTTCTCTTTTTCTTTCCATTCCCATTCCAGTCCAGCAGCATATTCTGTTGCCTTTACCTTCAGAGTATATCCAGAATTTGATCACTTCTCACCACCTTCACGGACACCAAGCCAACATCATCTTGATGTAAATTTTTGCAATAGTCTCCCACCTGGCCATCCTATATTTACTTTCTCCTTAAGGGTCTACCATCCATACGGAAGCCAGAGTGGTCCTATTAAAAGTTAGTCAGATCTTGCCCCTCCTCTTTTCAAACCCAAAGACTTTGTATCTTACTATAAAACCAAAATCCCTGCAATGGCCTGCAGGTCCTTACAGGATTTGCTTTCCCGTTATCTCTGCTTCTGTTTTCCTTTCTTTCCTCCTTCTCTTAACTTTGCCAGTCATACTGCCTCCTAGTTCTTTGCCAGACATCTGAGCCTAGTTAGAAAAATTAGTTTGAGATTGGTACTGTTCTATCTTGGGGACATGGGTAGTTAAACTGCCCATCTAAAAATGAAATAACACTGTGGCTTATCTTTTTGTCTTGTTGCTCTCTGAAAGCGAACAGGGATAGGCACAGTACAATTTCACATCAGGAAGAGTAAATCTTTTTTCTCTGCCTTTCTCTTTCCTGACTTTTCTTGAAATACTGTTTTCAGGCACTTCACATATATTGTCTCATTTAAGCCTCCCACTATCCCTTTGGTAGGGGCATTTATTCCAAAGAAGAAATTAAGTAGGTCAAGTAACTGAGAAGCCTGTATTTGAATTACGAAACTACATTTGCCTCCCAGTTTTTATCAGTATCTTAAAATAAAGTGAAGCTGATTGTTAAAAAATGATTATTTCCTAAATGTTAAAGAATGTTTTAGTATAAAATATTTTCTGTGGATAAGCATAAAAATGGATTATAGAATAATTTTAGTATTCTTTTGAAGTCCATCAATGATGTTCATCTACTAAGTTTTTAAATTAGAATTCAGTGTGGTTGAAATAAATTCTAATAAGGTCTCTTTGTATCTTAACCAATGTGAGATAAATGTTGCAGCTGATTTCCTGGCATTGTTATGGTACTTTTATTCATGTTAACTGATAAAGCAATAGTTTTCAATTACGTAGAAGTTTGCAAATATAAATGGTAATTGCATGTTATAAATTTTATATAAAATAGGGTTCACTGATAAAAGGTTAATGTTAGCACATTCGTTTATATTTTCTGGTGAGATTTAAACTTTAATGATTCCTCTGAATTTGGAAATTTATACATGAAAATGTACTTTTAAAATGAAAATGCTTTTAAAAGCTATTATTGTAGGGGCGCCTGGGTGGCTCAGTCGTTAAGCGTCTGCCTTCGGCTCAGGTCATGATCCCAGGGTCCTGGGATTGAGCGCCGCATCAGGCTCCCTGCTCAGGGAGCCTGCTTCTCCCTCTCCCTGTTCCACTCCCCCTGCTTATGCTCTCTCTCGCTCTGTCAAATAAATAAAAAAACTTAAAAAAAAAAAAAAACTATTGTAGTTTATGGCAGATTCAAAAGGCTTTGTTGAATCTTTCTAATCCTTGATGGTTTTACTATAAATATTGTGATAGGAAAAAATTCCTTAATATCTGAGCTACTAAAACTTTTGAATGTTATAATTGTTTTCCTCATATTTATAGTTTTTTCTTAAATAAAATCTTTCATGGATATACCATTATAACTTGTGATATGCCAACAGCATATCATAGGTTCAATGCAATAAATTCTTCCAGTTCCTTCACTTTTCAGAACTATTTCAAGAATTAATGTGTGCAGAAATTTTGAGGTAGTGAAAAGTAAATAAGCAATTGTGTTTATTGTAGCACTGGGGTGGGGACCCCCACTGGCATTTAAGTCCTAAATTATTCTTAGCAAACAACTTTTTGGTCTGAAGTATTAACTGGATAAAAGCACAGGGCTTTCTCAAACTTTAAGAGGCCTACATATCTAAAAAGATTGGGATTATTAATTGACTTCTCAATGATCACAGTACATTTCTTTTAAAATTCTAATGGCTGTGTTGCTACATTTCACTGAAATTCACATGTACCCATATGGTGTTTAATTCCAGATGTCCCTGGCCTAGTGAGGTTAATAAATAGCAAAAAGAATGGGTATCAGATGAAAGAAGAGGTGAAGATTGAGTGAAAACCAGGATGAAAGTCTAGTTCTCACTCATCCTTTTCAAACACGCTACCTCAGTCGACATTGGCATATATGCTATGATTCTTGTTTTGTGTATTTCCTATTAATCTGTGTAATTTTTCTTCTCTGAAGAAATAAAAGATCTTCATTACTTGATTTTAGGTCTGTTGTTTTTATTTTGTGTGGTGGAGGGCTGGTAAAGGACCTTTTTTTGAACAAGAATAAAAATGGATTCATCTGTTTTTAAAATGAATAAGGACTATAAAACATAAAAAATAATTTTTTAAAAATTTGTGTGAAAATAATGAATCATGGATCACTACATCAAAAACTAATGATGTATTGTGTGGTGACTAACATA